AAACCCCCTTCCCCTCTCTCTCTCTCTCTCTCTGTCTCTCTCCAACACACACACACACACACACACACACACACACACACACACACACAGACACACAGACAGACATATACACACACACACACACAGTCCTTTATTCCATCTGGCCTCCACCCCTCCTATGCTGGAGATGGTTGCTCATGATTCCATCCCTTACTTTCTGAACCCAAGTTACCCCTAATCCCACCTGTCCTCAGTACCTGGGGTCACTCTTGACCTTTATCTTACCATCCAGGAGCAGTTACCCCTGACTTTACTTAACCCAAAAGCCCTAGGGCCCACCCCTAACCTTTATTTCACCCTACCTACACCTCTAGAAGTCATTTCTGACCCCTGATGACTTGAGACCATCAGCTCCCCCTGATCTCCATCTTCACCAGTCTGGATTATCTGAGTCACCCCAGACTCTTCCAGCCCTGAAACACTCCCCTCCTCCAGGGTCACTACCTGACCCTTAGCTTTCTCTACCTAAACCCCTGGTAGCATAAGACCCCACTCAGCTTGAACTACCATAACTCTTCCCCTCACCCATGGCCCTCAACCCTGATTCCGTTTAGCCAGAACCACCAGGGCCACGTCTGTCCCTTGTGGTCTGAATAATCCAGGTACACTCCTGTTCCTGACTCCCATAGGTCAGGACCCCAGTGTTTACTCCTTTGACCTGGACCTGGAAGGACTGATGAGCTGCCCTACCCCTGCCTGGGAGAGTGTTGCCTGGGAGGTATATGGTCCAGGGAGCTGCCTTGGGGGTGGGGGGACAGTCCAGCCCTAAGAGCATGTCTGGAGGCAGATGCTTTCAATCTAGTAGCTGGGCAGGAAGTGCTGTGCCCTAATTTACCCCCAGACGTGGTGGGAAATACATGTCCCAGGATACTGCTCCTGTGATAGTCAACAGCATGCCTACCTTACCCTCTTCCAAGCTCCCATTATGCCCAGTCCTCTGTCACCCTAGAGGTCCAGGACCTTCAGAACTTACCAGGAGAAAGCTATGTTAATTACTTCCTTCCCAGCACTTTGTTTTTCTATTTGGTAATTGCTTCTAACTCTCACTAGTGTTCGCTTGACAAGGTTCACGGCCAGGTGTGAGTGTCTGTCTCGTTATTCACGTTTACGAGCACCCCGAGTGTGGAGTTCTTGCTGGGGTCATTTCCAGGTCTGGAGTACTTGCTGTGTGTGTCTGCCTTCCCAGGGTCCAAATATGTTACAGATTCTGTACTGAATCACTTCCAACGCCAACAGTGACTCATCTTATTAGGGTGTGAGAGGGAATGTCACCTTCTTTTCCCAAACCTGAAAGCTATGTCCCTGCAGAGTGTACGGGCTGGACTGTAGCGGGTGGTAGAATGCTTCTCTAGCTCGTGCAAGGCTCTGTGTTCGTCTCCATCACTGAAAGAAGATAAAGCCAGATTGCCTGGAGGGAGAGTTGTTCAGTCAATGGGCCATTAAATGCGTTCTTGGGCCTGAGAATTGACAGGTGACCATTCTCTCCAACTTCTTAGGGTTCCTTTCTGTAACTCAGGTTCTGGAAACACATCAGTCCACAATCTTTTTAGGGTTCCTGTCCCAAATACCCCTGCCAGAATCTAGCTGACTGTATTGTTAGGGGTGGGGGTACACATGCAGAAGCCAGAGGAAGAGGCCACTGGGTGTCCTGCTCTGTCACTCCACCTGATTCCCTGAGGAAGAGTCTCAAACAGAACCTGGAGCTAGGTTGGCAGCCAGCAAGCCCCAGCGATCCTCCTGTCTCCACACCCACAGCACTAGGGGTGCAGCATTGCAGGAAAGCACACCTGGCTTTTTATGTGGGTGTTGGGGAGTCAAACGCAGGTCCCCATGCTTGTGCGCCGAGTGCTTACTCACTGATTCTCCCCAGCCCCACTCCCTGCCTTTTGGAGAAAAGACTTTTCTTTCACACAGGACTGTCTCTTCCCCACTGTAGGCAAGGTTTCAAACCACAGGGTCCTGCTCATCTACTGAATAGGCCAAGGCTGGTATTTTCGAAACGATGTTGGTATGTGCAGTGCCTGGAAGTCTGTCTCTCAGGAGCTGGCATGTGTAGTGGGTACGTGTCTGAGCATGGTGGCTTAGCTGTCAGGGAAGTGATTTACGACTGAGCCCTGCAGCCCTATAGATGAAGTGCAGCAGAGTGCCTGTGCTGTGTGTGTGTGTGTGTGTGTGTGTGTGTGTGTGTGTGTGTATGTGTGTGTACACCCACTCTCCCGACTCTGTGTTCGTGTATGGAGGCCAGAGGTCAACTTTGGATGTCCTTTTCATTGACTCTTCACCTTGTTTTGGGGGACAGGGCATTTCACCTAATCTAGATGTCTAGGTTGTCTGGCTAGTAAGTCCCAGGATTATCCCTCTCCCAGCCTCCTCAACTCTGGGCTTATGATCCCACAGCAGCATGTCTAGCTTCTTTAATGTTACTTTGAAGAATTGAACTCATGCTTGTGTGGCAAACACAACTGAGCCGTCTCCCCAGGCCAGCTGTGTGTATTTGACTTTAGGGGTGTTTCTGAGCATGTCAGCAGAGTCATAACCAGTGTGCGTAAGGAAAACCAGCAAATGAGTGTCATGTCTGTCCTGCTTCAGAAAAACCTGTCAGCAGGCCAGCTGAGCAGTTCTGACGGGGGGTGGGGGGTGTCTCCTGTTGTTTTTGACTGTAGGGAGCTCCAAAAGAAACAGTCTCATGGATAGGATAGGATGTTGTCAAGTTCGGGGTTAGAGTGCTGATTAAGAATGTCCACATTGAAAGTAATCCAGATACTCCAGCGAGTTCAGATCATGGCAATTGCAGGTATGCTGTGTGTGTGTGTGTGTGTGTGTGTGTGTGTGTGTGTGTGTGTTGGGGTCAGAGGGTGGCTTCTGGTATCACAGTATCATCCTTTATCACTCTCCACTCTATATTTTGAGATAGGGTCTCTTTCTGAACCTGGAACCTGCTGGCTTGGCTACACTGACAGCCAGCAAGTCCTGGGAAGCTCCCACTCAGCTCTGCAGCACTGGGGTTGCTGGAGTGTGACACTGCATTCACCTTTTGCTTGGTGCTGGGGATCTGAAGTCAGGTCCTCATGCTTGCCGGCATTCACCCCCAGAGCCCTCTCTCCAGCCCCAAGGCTCGCTTTCTTTTTTTAACACCCCTCAATTTTTATCTTGAAATGAAAAATTCATTAGTGATTTGGAAATAATGGCAGTTTTTTTTTTCTATGCCTATCTCCTGTTTTGTTAGCCCGTTTTGCATTAGAATTTCGTTGACTTAACTGTTGCCCGCCTTCAGCAAGCTGCAGTAGCTCCAGGCTTGGTGGTTTTGTCCCTTGTGGACGCCCACACTGATTCCCAAAGCAGCCCCATCCTCAGCTGCCTTCTACTCCACCCTCAGGATAGATGACAGTGACAGCCATATGGGTGACATTTGCACACAGCACACACTCTCCCAGGCATCTCCCACACAGGAGGGGAACCAGAATCCAGCCCTGATGGTTGCTAGAGGTATGTCTTCAAACCTTCAGTACTTTCTGATACTGTTGTCGGAAAAGTGTCTCCTCACATAGCTGGTTTTGATATGTTGTGTTTGATCCTTGGGTGGAGAACCACCCAGAGCTGCCAGGCATGCAGGTGGAGGGAGTGTACCTTTGTGGTACTGGGGATCAAACCTAGGGCTTTGTACTTGTTAAGTAAGCTCTCTACCACTGAGCCACACCCCAGCCCCTCACTGGGGATTCTAGGCAGATGCTCTACCACTGAGCCACACCCCAGCCCCTCACTGGGGGATTCTAGGCAGGTGCTCTACCACTGAGCCACACCCCAGCCCCTCACTGGGGGATTCTAGGCAGGTGCTCTATCACTGAGCCACACCCCAGCCCCTCAATGGAGGATTCTAGGCAGGGGCTCTACCACTGAGCCACACCCTCCAGCCCTCTTTTCATTTTTTATTTTGAGACAAGTTCTTACTAACTTGTCCACAGTTGCCTTGAACTTTCAGTTTTCGCCTCTACCTGCTGAGTAGCTGTGATGACAGGCCTACATCACCAGGTCATATTTGTGTCTGAGGTTTGATTCAGCCTCTTCCTTGGGTGGGCGTCAGTGCCTGTGCACGTGAGTGTCTGTGTGTCAGTGTTGGTGATCGTCTCTGTATGTT